ACAATGTCTGTGGTTGGCTCTGGCTACTTTCTTATCACCAAAGCTGAGTTTTTACTAAGCCCCATTTAGATTTGGAATTATTTAGATGCAAGAAAGCTAAGGTTTTGTATATTTCTTTAAAGAATTTTTATTAACAGGCAACAGCCAGACATGCTCTCCAAATTATTTTCTTTTCCACCTTTCCTAATATTGGGCACCCTGGATCAAATTTTAACTAGGCAAGAATTTGTAATAGTATGTGCATCTGTAGTCACTGTTTAAAAGTACCAAGAGTGGGCCAGCCCGGTGGCGCACTTGGTAGAGTGCGGCGCTTGGGAGCGCGGCGGCGCTCCTGCTGAGGGTTCGGATCCCATAGAGAGACCGGTCTGCTCACTGGTTGAGCGTGGTGCGGGCGCGACACCGAGGGTTGCGATCCCGTTGCCGGTCGCGGTACGGGCGTGACACCGAGGGTTGCAATCCCATTACCGGTCACGAAAAAAGACAAAAAGGAAAAAAAAAAAAAAGAAGTACCAAGAGCAACAAATTTGGTGGGTGAAAAAATTATGTATTTGCTGGTGAGGTTGTAAAGAAAGTGACTTGAGTACTTTATTCTTAGTGGGAGAAATTATGTTACAGGGCATTTTTAATTTTCAGAAAACTGTTTTCTGTTAATTTATATTATTGAAAGTTTTTTTGTTTTTGGTTTTCTCTTAGCATATTTCTTCTTGCATACAGGGGTCAGTAAATTTTTACCATCAATATTTATTTCCAACTTTGTAATTGTTGATGCTAAAATCAGGATTCCCTAAATATCAGTTTACTTTTCAGCAAACATTGCTGAAATGGGCTATTTGAGTCAAGAAATGAAATATAGACAGAGAGGGAGGGAAGTAGGATAAGTGGGTGTAAAATAATATTTATACCTTTTTTCCATAAAACAATCTCTAATTGCTTTAACAGTGTTAATTCTTTGTATGTTTTTGAAATACAGCATCATTTTTCATCAGTCAACAATTTACATGTTTATTTCAAAACACAAGTGAATTCACCTTAATGGATAAAACATTGAATCAATACTTTCAGCACTTTCTCCTTGTGGAACATCTCCTGTGCACATCTTAGTAGCTTCCCAGGGCATGCATTTGATCCATCCCTCTGTCACATGTTTAAATATAGAGCCTGAAGTAGAGATGGGCCTGTGGTTTAGTCTTCCACAGCAGCTCAAGTCAGAACCATTCCACCTTGCTTTTGCTCTAAATATTTATATTATTGTCCTCAGATGTTTTCCCACTGTGCATAACAAATCTTTCCTCTTTAAAAGAACTGATTGATGACAGTAAGGGAAACTACACTCTGGAGTGCACTTAAAGGCAAGGAAACCACATATTTATCTAGTTAAAACAAATACCTCTTTCTCTAGCTTTTAAAACAAACAAACAAAAACAGCCACATATATATTTAAAACTTTCATGTTGCAGGCCAACATGTTTTCATAGAAAAGCATTTAAGTATACTGAAAAGATGGGGAAATTGACTTCTTCTTTACCAGACATCTTTCTAGGCCCAGGGGATGACACAATGAATGAGACCTATGGAGTCACTGTTCTCAGAGACCTTAGATCCTAGTAGAGAGAAGCAGACAATAAAAATTTTCTTTCAAGGACAAGGAGTTGTGATAGTTAGCAGACAACTTAAGTGGAGCATCACTTTCTAATTACATTTTTTAGAACTCTGGCTGCTATGTGAAAAGAGATTGGAAAGTGGCTTGGACTAAGCTGAACAATTCCCCTGTCTCTAACTTGAGCAAATGGCTGGAAGGGATGCTATTAATTGATGTAATAAAGAGTGGAGGAGGAGCACTTAGCGGGGGCAGGAGAGAATCAAGGGTTCAGTTTTGGACATGGCACATCTGAAATGCCTGCAAAATAGCCAAGGAAAAGAAAAATCTTGAATACATTTGCAAAATGAATCTGGAAAAGAGGTCAGGGCTGAGTTTTAACTGTGGAAGTCATTGGCACGTGGGTGGTATCTGAAGCCATGGGAGTGGATGAGTTCACACAGGGGTGAGGATAGACTGAAGGAGAAAACCTTGGTCCAGGTCTAGCTCTGAGATACACCAGACCTTTAAGAGATCTGGTAGAGGATGTGGAACTGACAAATGAGCCTAAACAGGAATGGCTAAGGGCAGTTAATTTGCAAGGAAAAAAAAAATGTATTTCATGATCACAGACCACACATCCCTGGCCAGCAACTCTTAGCCACAACCCACAGTTGGCTCTGAAAGAAGCTCTCTCTGATGCTGAAAAAATAAATCTACTGCATGCATGTCTTCCCAGTAGGGGAGGCAAAAGAGCTTCTTCCTCATTTAAAAAGATAACTACACTGGAATAATCCAAAGAATGAGGTGGAAGTGTGACGCAGCTGCTGTATTTCAAGATCAGGATACGAAATTCCTCTGGGATGCATGTGAGAGCCTCAGAGATCAACTTCTCTGTCCTGGTTCAGATTTGGTTACCACTAAACGGGGAATAATCTTGCTTAGTTGGCAGTAGATTTGCCTTTTACACTCTCTTGAGAGGAGGTAAAGTGCTGCACCATAGAGTGTTTGTTTTCTCTTTATGTTTGAAATTAAATAGGACATTGAGATTTAATAAGAAGAGGCACAAACTTGCAAATCCAGCCTTGCATAAAGGAGCACAGAGGAATCTTATGAACACCTCTCCCTCCTGTTTCAGGATTTCACAACATAAAGTATGTCCATCTTACAGACATTTCATAAATCGCAGGTGAGATGTTTGTAGCTTGTGCCATGTTCTAAAAGATTAAAGACAGAATAATCTTTCAACTTTATATAAAATAAATTGCTGAAATCCTAGTTATTTGCTGTGTATCTGAAAATGGTGGGGTATCCTTTCCTGTATAAATCAAGTTTATTTTATTTGTTGAGGTTTGTATCAGGAGTTCTGAGATGAAAGATGGTCCCTGGTCTTAATATGGTAATATTAACTACATGTGTGCCATTTCTTTTGCTATAAATTCTTTCGTGTGAAATCATCTTTACACTCTTTTGCAAATCATTGAAGAATAAGAATAGAAATGGACTACTGCTTAAATGATGAAAACATTAGGAGAAAACTTGAAAACCTTCGACATAAAGTTGGCTATTTCTTACATTTTCACTTTCCTTTTCTTTCTCAAATTATATTTCAGTTCGGGCCGGCCCAGTGGCGCACTGCTACAGTGAGCCGCTTGGGAGCCAGGCGGCGCTCCCGCCAAGGGTTCGGATCCCACATACAGACCGGTTCCCACTCACTGGCTGGGCGAGGTGTGGGGGCGACGCCGAGGGTTGCGATCCCGTTGCCGGTCCCGGTCCGGTACGGGCGTGACACTGAGGGTTGTGATCCGTTGCCGGACACGAAAAAAGACAAAAAGGAAAAAATATATATATATATTTCAGTTCTTCTGCAGTTTCAGTTCATGTTTCAGAAGTTTAAATATCGACATTTGCGAAGGCACCATTTCTAGTTCTATTGAGACATTCTTTCAGTGGATTTATGGCACTGTATATTTATGAATGACAGTCTAGTCATCAGGAACCAGTCTGCAGCTGTTTGTGCTATATACTGTGAGCTACTTTAGTCCAAATTTCAAATCTAATTTGGCATCTCTTTGCCTCAATTTCAAATCTAACATGGCAGTTCCTCACTGTGTGAGGTAGTGATTCTTTTTTTTTTGGTGGCTGGCTGGTTCAGGAGGGATCTGAACCCATGACCTTGGTATTGTAAGGCTGTACCCTAATCAACTGAAGTAACTGGCCAACCCAGAGGAGGGACTCTTCTTATATGTTCTCCCAGGATGTATTTGGGAATAGCTGCCTTTTTGCTTCCTAGTGATGTCAGTCTGTCCAAATTAGAAATAATTTTATATCGTGGATGCCCTGACTCCTTCCTATGTATCTATATTTTTAAGCTTTTTATCTTTTATTACCAAATGACTGCTTTCTAACACCCAAGCCTTGGCATATACATTGGCATATAAAGAGAAAACAGCTGCTCCTGGACCCAAAGGTGGAATGGACACCCAGAGAACTGCAGTTCTGAGGCTGGGGGAGAAGAGGGAGACAGAACAGTCATAGAGGCACAGCTTTCAGATTGTGACATGCACAGAGTGGGGGAAGTTGTACAGAGAAAAACTAAACTGCGTTTAGGGAATGAATATTTACAGAGCACTTTCGCTAACTGGCTCTAAGCTGGGAGCATTGCATATAGTGTCATTAATATTTAATACATATAACCATTATTATGTGTATCTTAAACATCTGTCAAATTAAAAGTGAATGGTAATTCTAAAAGTAAACTATAAGCAACAGCTTTTTCAAAGTAAGTTTTTCATGTCGCATGTTTCATTAGCTCATAAAGTATGGTCATTTCTGCAAAATGTATAAAAATTTAAAGGGGAAAATGGCCATTCATCAGAAATAACAAGTGTCAGTGAGCTCTCCAGAGAGTATTTCTTTCTAACACTCAATTTCTGGGAGTGGAAAGTCAAGGTGAATCAGGACGGCCAAATTGGTGCGTGCTGTCCAATATCTTGGGAAATTTGACTTTTGGCTTCCATGAATTTGCCATTGTACTCAATATTATGGCTTTGCCATTTGTCCCTTTTGCATTTAAATAATTGGTGCGTGCTGTCCAATATCTTGGGAAATTTGACTTTTGGCTTCCATGAATTTGCCATTATACTCAATATTATGGCTTTGCCATTTGTCCCTTTTGCATTTAAATAGGTTTCTTTAAATTGCTCCTGGTTGCTGTTGCCCAGAGGACAAATGTAGAGATGATTTTATATTTTCAGTGTATTTTGTATAAAGTTAAACTATGGAAAAATTGCATAGAAACAAAATGAGAGGGAGAACACCCTCTCTAATATCTGGGTTCGTTTTGGGGTTTGTTTTTTTTTTTTTTCACTTCTTGCTGGTATTTACTGATCTTTTATTCTTTTTCCCCTTCCTTTTTTTTTAGTGGCCACAGATGTCTTTAATTCCAAAAACCTGGCCGTTCAGGCACAAAAGAAAATCTTGGGTAAAATGGCATCCAAATCCATTGCTACCACCTTAATTGATGACACGAGCAGCGAGGTGCTGGATGAGCTCTACAGAGTGACCAAGGAGTACACCCAAAACAAGAAGGAGGCAGAGAAAATCATCAAAAACCTCATCAAAACGGTCATCAAGCTTGCCATTCTTTACCGGAATAATCAGTTTAACCAAGATGAGCTAGCACTGATGGAGAAATTTAAGAAGAAAGTTCATCAACTTGCTATGACGGTGGTCAGTTTCCATCAGGTGGATTACACCTTTGACCGGAATGTGTTATCCAGGCTGTTGAATGAATGCAGAGAGATGCTTCACCAAATCATTCAACGTCACCTCACCGCCAAATCGCATGGACGGGTTAATAATGTCTTTGATCATTTTTCAGATTGTGAATTTTTGGCTGCCTTGTATAATCCCTTTGGAAATTTTAAACCCCACTTACAAAAACTTTGTGATGGTATCAACAAAATGTTGGATGAAGGGAACATATGAGCATGTGAATTAAGATTGTGACTGATCATGATTTATTTGAAGACAGAGCACTGCTGATTTATGAAGGAAAAATGATTTTTTAAGAAATAATTACACATATTTCAGAAAGACTTTGCCTGATTCATTTGTCAGACATTAATGATAGTGCTTTTATGAGGCTTGTTTTATTTGAAGAAAAACATGTTGCCGAAAATTCTGGTTAAAGGTTTCCTAAAGGGGTGACAGATTATGGGAAAGATATATGGTTGGGTAATTCAAGTGGAGAGTCATACAAAGGAAAATACACACGGCCCCAAATCTTTAGACCTTTTTTTAGAGCAGTTGTGTTGGCAGCACATTGGATATTTTTAACGTGTACAAAGCTATGTTTTTTGGTTCACTTTTATTCCTTACTGTGTATATGTAGCTCTTTTAAAAAGCCAGGAACTTTCTCTTGCTGTCATTTCTCCTTTTGAGACAATTCCATTTTTAAGTCTACCTTGATTTCTTTTGTTAAAGATTGGGTCATTGACATTCAAGAATTAAGCCTGAGGCAGTCAACTTGAACCCTCAGAAAAATAGAAAACTGCTTATCTGAAATCAGTACTGTGGAAATGAACTATATTAGACATTACGAATAATGTCAATATAAGATTATGCTTCTGGAGTTGAGTCCTGCTTTTTTAGTATCAATGGTGATACTTAAATTTCCAAAAATGTAATGACATGTCATTGCCTTCTTGATTAGGGCTTCACTTTCATGTTATCTTGAAAATGTGCTTTTGAAATCTCCATTTCACATGGGAGAGTCAAAGAGAACATCTAGATTGGTTTTAATATCTGGACAATGAAAAGTAAGCAGCATTAAGAAAGATAAAACAATCTTCATTTTAGAGATGAACCCAGCAAAATAATTTAGGGGGATGAGGGGCAAAAGTTAACATGAGCATGAAAATAAATGCATTTCAATGTTTAAGAAGGTTTGATAAATAAAGAATGTCACTTTTTTATTTAACTGATAAGGTTTTTGTTATTTGCTGTTTTGAGTAAACCAAAGAATATTTGCATTACAAGCAGTTTGTGTGTTGTTTCTACATAACTTTATGTGAATAATTTTATGTATGAAAAAGTAGTCATTTGCTTATTTTGTAAAAAAAAAAAAAAAAGAAATGGAAACCTGCTTGCCAACTCTGTCATCTAGGAAATAACAGACCCAGGTACTAGCACTAAATATTTGCATTGTCACTATGTCTATGATTTAGTGTACACTCTTGCCTTGAATTTGCCTGCCTCTCTGAATATTGACATTAAAATAATAGTTCACCAGGCAAGGTCTAACAACTACAAACTCCAGAGTTGAGATCTGCTTTAACCTGTTACAGCCTAGAGGAGGTGGTCAGTTTCTCTTGGACCCTCACTTCCTTGGCTGAAACAAGCAGCAAAGGCAAAGCGTATTTCCCTGTTTGATACTAAATCCTGACACTAAGATTTGAACTGAAAGTACGATTCTCACTTCCTAGAGCCATTCGGTGATCACTGCATGTTACAACACTAGCACAGTGACTGCAGAAATGACCCCTCTAGCTTCATAATTTGCTAAGTGGATTATAAATGGAGTTCAGCCTTCCTTGACCAGCTGTGTCTTTCTCCCATGGGAAAGCTGAGTGTAACAGGTGTGAGCTACTGATTCGTGATGCCCTGTGTTCTCTACCAGACCTCTGGGCAGAGGTGGGGGAAATGGAGGGCCTGGCCAGCTGGTGGGTGCTTCTTGCTCATCTCTAGCTATGGACAGGACTTACCAAAGAGAAGACCTAGGGAGAAATTTAGATCCATCTGGGCACATTTGGATCACAGAGTTGTGCCTGCAGGCTAGCAATCAAATGTGCACGGGGGGTGGGGGGGGAGGTGGGGGGGGGGAACCCTTAATCTCACACA